GTTTGTGCTTAAACCTAGACAGTGTCAGGAGGTAAAGGGCCAGATTCTCACACTGTACACTCCATTCTCACACTGTACACTCCATTGAAACCAGTTTACACTAGCTGAGGATATGGATCAAAAGGTCAAGGAAGAGAACTGGTCCATGGAATATTGATGGAATAATTTATTTTCTAAATACACAATGTATATGTGTAATACATATTACACAGTCTCCGTATTATGTGCAGACTTGAAGGTTCCCCAAATCCTCTATTTTGTATTGAGTTACTTGCACTGAAAGGCTAAGCTAACTCTGGGGTAAATTAAATAAGAAGTTAAGCCTTATTTGCTGAATAACTTAACCTCATGACATTGTCTTATTTGGAAATAGGACATGTGCAAAGATTTTAAGGGAAAACACAATTTTTGCTGCATGTGAATATTTCTTTTCCTTCAGAACGGAAAATAATTTGATTATACATTTTAACTCTGCTCTGTTGCTGATGCTTATTATTAGTTTAGAACAGGCTGACTTGATGAAGTCAAAAGATTAAATCAGAAATGGTATATGTATGATCTGTTTATACTCACATCTCTGCAACCTCAGATGAGGAGGAGAGGAGGAAGAATCATAGGACGCTGCTCTTATTTATAGAACACCAGTGTGGTAGACACTTTACAAACACAAGGCTTGATACGGCAGATACTTAAGCATGTGTGTATCTCTACTCACTCGAGTGGCCTTATTAAAATCTATGGAAATATCTTCATTAATAAAGTTACTCACATGCACCGATGTTTGCTAGACCAGGGCCTCAGAGCTTACAGTTGAGGGTTCTGATCCTGCAAACAGCTGCATTGTCTAAAGCAGCTTCCTACATCTGCCTGGAGTAACACTGTATCAGAAAGCTACACTAACAGATCTCTGTGCAGGATTGGAGATACACAACGTACAGACGAAAAGGTGAGGGTGGAGTGAGGTGTAACAAAACTATTTGATCTGAGTTACTTTCATCCATTTTGCGTATTTACTGGTATATGTTTTAGCCTTTTCCTTTTAGTTTTTTAACTTGTGCCCAATTAAATTTTGATTGTCAGATTGTTTGTAACCATACCAAATGAGAGTGAGTGTGTGCATGTGTGTATTTGCATGCACATGATATACTCACATGATTTCCTTCTTGTACTATTTCCTTTTTTCACTCAAGTTTAACCCCTTACCTGATTTCAATTTTTGCTTTTGTTTCTTATCTCTTATTTTCTGCTTTATATTTTTTCCTGTCCCCATTTGATGGCTTTGGGCAGAATTGCACAAGCAAATGCTGTTTGTTTCAGATGTGCTTTTCTCTTGGTAAACTGTCTACATTGAGAGTACTTTACCTCTCACTCTTCCTTTTTATTTTATTTTACTTTTTTTATATTTTTAGGTGAAATCAGACTATGTTCAGCTTAGAGAAACCCTCACCATAGTGACCAAAGAACGAGATTTGGCTGTGAAGGAGAAACACCAGCTCCAAGCCAAGCTGGAGAACTTAGAGCAGGTCCTAAAGGTATGGCTAATACAATGAAGTCTGGTAACCCAGTGTTTAATAACATTGCCTATATTCTTCATTTCAAATGTAAGAGGCTGAAATAGAATGCTAGAAGAAATATGCTTTCTCTGATGATTCTGTTGCCTGTATAGCATCCCAATTAAGCAAAACACTTATGGGAACACAATGATGATGATTACTTCAAGCACAAGTAAGTCCATTCTTATGCAGCAAAACTCTTAAGCATGCACTTGAAGTCACTGGAACTTGAACATGTGCTTAAGTGCTTTGCTAAATAGGGGCCTTCCTGACCATTAGATAAAGATGACTTTTATTACTGGGTTTTTTTCCCCCTGATGGTCTTGTAATAAAATGAAATAAATAATGAAGATACCACTTTGAGGGAGTCATCAAACTAAAAGGGAGGGGATATAAAATAAATTATAGCTGCATTTAGGATTTTATAAATTGCTGTTCGAGTGATTTGAGCACATAGTTACTGAATGGGAATCAAGTTGATATGAGGAGGAAAGTATTAAAACCAGCTGTGTGGGCGAAGGATTTCGGGGATGGCCATGGCATAGAGATTGTCATGGGGTCAAATCTTGTCCATGTGGGTAGTGATAGAAAGTCACTGCCAGCTGAATGCTGTTTCTAACCTGGTGAATTAAGCTAGTGGGTGTCAGTCCTGTTCCTTATGGACAGGTCTCCACAACACACCAAATAAAGCCCACTGCCACATTTGGATCTAATTCCATGACTATTGGAAATCTTACAAGAGTGATCAAGGACTGAGAGCCACAGAGACTAGTGTATCCTCTCACCCCAGATGTGATCCCTCCAGATTGAGGCTGAATTGTTGTGGAAGAAGCTTACGCAGCCGGTGTCCATGCTCCAGCTGTTTTGTAGAGACACAGAGGTTTTCACTTTGCAGAGTCATCAGTTTGACACGTCCTTTTAAACGTTAACAAATTCTCTTTATTTTTAATCACACATTTAATCCTTTCAGTCTGGGATTTTATAGTATGCTAAGGGCACTATCATACTTCTGCTTAGGTGGTGATTGTATAATAGCATGTGTAGCATTGCTTCCATTAAATAATTCAATCAACACATAATTTCATTTTCCACTAGTGGCTGCATCCTGTAGGAACACAGATACAGTAACTCCTCGCTTAATGTTGTCGTTATGTTCCTGAAAAATGCTACTTTAAGCGAAACGATGTTAAGCGAATCCAAGGAAATTTTTTTCACCAGACAAAAAACTATATATATACACACACAGTATAAGGTTTAAACAAACAATTTAATACTGTACACAGCAATGATGATTGTGAAGCTTGGTGGAGGTGGTAAAGTTAGAGGGTGGAAGAAGGTAGGATATTTCCCAGGGAATGCCTTACTGCTAAATGATGAACTAGCATTCAGCTGAGCCCTCAAGGGTTAACAAATCGTTATTAATGTAGCCTCACACTCTACAAGGCAGCATGAATGGAGGAAGAGGAGACAGCATGGCAGACAGAGACACACACCCTGTGTGTGAGAAAGAGAGAGAGATGTGCATTGCCCCTATAAGTACGCTGACATCTTTCTAAGTACACTGCCTTTAAAAAGATCAGGAAGTTGAGACAGCAGTTGTGGCCAGCGTACTGAGCGCTGTCCCCACCCTGCTCCATATGGAGAAGGGGTAAGCGGGGGGCAGGAATAGGGGGGGAGGGGGACACCCTGACATTAGCCCCCATCTTTCCCCTCCCCTACACAGCAATCAGGAAGCTTCTGGGAGCAGCTCCAAGGCAGAGGGCAGGAGCAGCACATGGCAGTGGAGGGGGGGACAGCTGAACTGCCGGCAATTTATAGCCTGCTGGGCGGCCGCTGCACAGGGAACTTAAGGGAGCGGGGGGCGGCTGGTCCACCCTGGTTCCAAGGCCCCACCAACTAGCTGCGACCGGCCTCTTTTCCTGT